ATATATATATGAATGATACATATATTTTATATACATGTGTGTGTTTGTGTGACCTGTACTAGTTGTACTCCCCTAGTTAATCCCTCTACCAAGTTAGGTGTCTTCCTGATCCAGAAACTAAAAATTAAATATACCATGAATAAGAATCTGAGGTAAGATATGTTTATTTAAACACATAATTATCTACATCTCAGTGGTCTTTATGTGAAGACTGCTAAAGCATGACAAATGACAGAAAGTCTGAATCACAGCAATATTATAAGAGGAAGCTTTAAAGAAATGAGAAAACTGTAAACCTATATCAACTCAATGTGTACAATATTTAAGAATACTGTTTCTTTGCTCTTGCCGTTTTTTTTGTTTTTTCACTATAGAGAGTGATCTGCCATTTGGTTAACATAACTGCTGTTGGCTCAAAGTAATTGTTACACCATGAAAGTGTGTGCAGGTTTTGCTTCTCTGTGTAATTCTTCCCTATTAGAGACAATTTAAAAGCAACTAAAGGAAGAAATATGTCTTCATTTCTCTGGCATCACAGAATCCACTACAGAGGGACCTGAGAGATCCACTGTGTCCTAGAAGTTACTCAGGAAAACTGCAGCAGCACCAACAGCACCATGACCTTGATCCTTACAGGTATTCCACAACCCATGCTGATTCACTACTTCATTGGGACAGCTAGCTAAAAAGTAACCTGGCATCCTCATCAACAACGTATGAAGATTACGAAGACTCACTTTTTTAACAAAACACACAATATGTATTATGTATTTTCAACATTAGGTTGGATAGCAACAAATATTTGGCAAATGGAAGAAAAGGACACATAATCTCCTTTATGTATACATGTACAGATAAACACAAGGTAAACGCTATATATGAACCCATGCAAATGTGTGTCCGTCTGTGTATAATGTATATGCAGTTGGGTCTATCGAAAAATCATACACCAAGTATCCATAACAAATTACTTACATATACCTGAAGATATGAGCAATGGATATTACACTTAGAAATGTATGGCTCAGATACTTGCAATTTTTTTTTTATTTCAGTAAGATTTTGGAAAACAATCTTATTTCTTACCTACATTTCCAGTCATTAAGTATGAATTCTGAAAGTCCATCATCCCCATTCCAACAATGTGTATAAAATCTTCAATCACCTGCATTAATTCTATAGAGCCAGGATAAATCTACAAAAATAAGCAAGGGTTAGAAGGAATAAAAAGTCTATATAGTAGAATATGTAACAGGAATAACAAAAACTACATAATGAGGTCATAAATGAACTCTGGTTTACTTGAAGAAAATTCTGCACCTGGCAACAGTTGTGTTTTTGAACCACGGGCTGAGAATGATACCAGGTGTCACACGGCAAGAGCTTCGATGGTGATATGATGCAGTGATTAATCTCCCATAAATCTAAGGAAACTAAAAATATCTAACAGATTGTATACTTGGAAATTGTCTGTCCTTACTTTTGATGGGATCTTTTCCTCACCTAATTATGACATAGAACAAACACTGAAATCTTGAGGCTTTTTGCTTTTTTTACTTAGCATCTATATGATGGACATTGGAAGAAAACACAATTATTATTGTCATCGTGAAGATATTTACAAACTATTAAGTTCATTCAGTCTTGGGAGGGGCATTCACTTCCATAGCTGTCATAGCCATGATATGAATAGCAATGTTAGCAATAATTTCAGGATCATGATAATAGTGCTAGTGTTGGTGCTTCCCTTGTATATATACAAAGCAAATCCAACACCATGCCACCTCACGCATTGCAAACAGAGGAGTTTTTCTCCTAAACAATCTGATTCTGGAAATAGTTCATAATGTGTAGGAAGTGAAGGCCATTTAAAAAAAGGTCATATGACTGTTAGTATGCGTAACCCCTAATGTTTATAAAGTCAGCCTGCATTATATAACCATATTAGAGCAGAAAAGTCTTTTGAAGTTAGGTTCATTTCTTTTAGCCATTCAGTATCACTGCCACTTCTAAGCATGAAAAAATTAAGTGGATTAGAGTTGTAGTGGCTTTATCTTTGCAAAGCCTAGTGCAGAAGGGTAAGAGACAGTCTGATTAGCAGAGAAACATACAGTCAGAGCTAGAAGGGGACCAGAGTAGGGGGAAGACACATTGGGCAGGGTGAATAGCAGGTGTGGTGTGTAAAGTCAACTGTGCCCAGCTAAAATGCAGATACTGAGGGTGCATAGTATAGTCACCCACATATATTTGAAGACAAGAACAATGGCTATGACACTTAGAAATCTGTGGCATAGATACTTGTACATTTTTTAATATTGGAAACATTTGGGGAGAGATGTTCTTTCTTAACTAGTTTCCAATCATTAAATATGAATTCTAAGAGTTCATCATCATCATTCCAAAAATCTGCATGAAATTTCCATCAGCTCCAAGCTTTCTGCTACTACTATATTTTTTCTACTATTTTTGTGTAGGTGTATATGAGTGTGTGTCATGTAAGGGTAAACACAAATTTAAAATAAGAAGCTTAATTCTCCCTGCTGAAAATGAGACCCTCTCCCAGCCCCACATCTTTCATTCGCTTTCTTAAAGCATTTGCTTTTGAAAACTAATAATTGATAAATTCTTTCTCTGTCTCTTTGAAATGTATTTAAATGTTTTTAAAAAGCTAAATAGACTCTTACCAGCTTAAAGACCCAGGGATGTCTTTCAGAGAGAGACAGAGGTGATAACAAATAAGACAGGGCCTCTGTCTCAGTTTCTAGGTAAATGTAACTTCAGCAGGCACCTTGCTCTAAGCTGTAAAACTACCTTCATGAAGATAGAAAAAGTTTATTTTTTCTTTCTTTGGATAAAGCCAGTTAACTAGCAAGTGGTCACCCCAATTACCAGGTAAATTTGAGATGAACTATGTGTGACAAATGGAGTCCAACCTTTGTGCCACCAACCTGGAGTCTCATTTCCCACGTGGCTGCATTTGAAGGAATACCTTTTAGTAAAAGCTACAAAATAGTTGTTCTTTTTTTAAGCTTCAAATAGTTACCTTTAAAAAGTCATTAAAGAGTATCACTACTGAAGAATTTAAAAATAAGGACATAGCTAACTCAAAATCACAAGTAAATAGATGGATTATGGATTCAGGATTTTCCATTGAAGAGAAGTTGTGCTACCATTCATTATTTGTTCAAGTCAGGACCTCACAATAAATAAAGTGGTCCAATGAATTGCAGTCTTGTTTTTAAAAGGGTATTATATATTTTTTCTAAATATAGCCATAATTAATAGTCTCCAGCATTCTGGAAGGATGTGCTTAGTCTCTGCAGCTGTATTCTAGGGAAAGACACTATTTCCTTACAGTGAGTGAATGAGGCTCTCCTCTAGAAGAAAGCCAAGGACAAATATATAATTCAAACTAGCAGAAAAAGATAAATTCAGGGTCTTAAACTAAGGAGTGATCTTTTTTTTTTTTTCCTATGGCCAGAAGCACAGAATTTGTACCTGATAATGAGCTAGACCCACACTGGACTGTTTTTAGAGTCCCTATCATACAGGAATAAAGGGCATGCTTTGCTCCTGAAGGCCCAGAAGATGATTATAAGGGGAGAAAGGGATAGATGGCTCACTTGAATCTCAGTAAATATTCTTATTTTCAAGATCACATTGTTCTCTTGGAGTTAGCAAAAGTCAATCAGAAAACTTAAAGAATTCAAATAGTCAAATTAAATCTCCACAGTATTTTTAAAAACATGTTTATTTTCCCTTTCTTAACCTCTAACCCACTTATTTTTGTAATTTAGAAAAAAAGTGTTATTAACCACACATAAATCAGTATAGCACAAATGGCTTTGAAAGGCATTTTAAAACATTAATTAAATCAATAGGGTCACTTGCTACACTGATCATGCATGGCAGAAATAGAAAAAAAGCAGAATACAAATTCTCTTATGATAACTCATTTTTACAACTCTTGGCTTTGAATCCAAATGCACATCTGCATGTCTGATCCAGACTCTACATAGTGCTATAGTAAATGTAAATGATTTTCCTTGTCAATACCCCCCAGTTTGGTTTGTAATATGTGCTTTTGGATTTGCTCTTTCTCCCATAGTCTGTAGATAGGACAGACTATGGTTGGTAAGGCATATAGTTATTATGTACTGATACTTCAATGTTACAAATTACTCAAACCTGTCCAGTGTTTTCACATTCATAATACTCATTCCATTAATTGTTAGGATAGAAGAGATCACTTATTTTCTCTAAAATTAGTATAACACAACCTAGGATGACTTCTAAGTGTCTAATCAAAGTCTCCTTTTATGTTTTGGGAACAGAAAACCATTAGTTTCTTCACATATTTAAAAAAAAATTTTAATGCTTATTTATTATTGAGAGACAGAGAGACTCAGAGCGTGAGCAAGGGAGGGGTAGAGAGAACAGAGACACAGAAGGTGAAGTAGGCTCCAGGCTCTGAGCTGTCAGCACAGAGTCTGACGCGGGGCTCGAACTCACAAACTGTGAGATCATGACCTGAGCCAAAGTGGGTCGCCCAACAACTGAGCCACCCAGGCGGCCCTCTTCACATATTTTTAAAGCTTTCTTTAGCCAACTCTGTTTTAGGTTTTGAAACAGCTCCAATCTTACCTGTTGTGCATCCTCCCATTTTTCCTTGTTTTCTTCATCTAGAAGGTTGCTAACTATTTGAAAGAAGTTCTGCAAATTAAATTAGATAAAGGATTTAATGTTACATGAGAGAATACACTTTTCAAAAACAACCATTCGAACTGATTATGTGGTAAGGATGTACACTCTTTGCCGTATTGTTTCATGACCCTAACATATTCTAAAAGAGCTCGGAGGGCCATTTCTCAGCACCATACTTCTGGGATTTCTATGTAACTTCGCATATATACCTCAGAAGACAACAGAATAGGTAAATTACTTATGTTTACCTATAATTATTTCTTCCATTACAGTCTTTATATTGTATTCTGTCATACCATCAGATAATTATTCCTCACAAGTAAGTTTTCCTCCTTCGGCAGTGAAAATCCCTGTGTGTGTCTAGTTACAAGTTATCCAGTTAACTGTGAACCATGATTGCTAGTTCCACTGCTGTTTTGAAGAACACTGTAGTGAAGACACAGACTGTGGGCAAGGCTGAAGTGTGTGACAGGCTTCCTCATTTGGATCCGGCCTTGCCCTTCCGGGCTATTTTTCTTTGGCTTTTATCACTACGTACTACAAAGATCACATGGACTTTTCCAAGTACCTAGCAGATAGCACACAGTAAGTGCTCAAGAAATCCTAGCTATTTCAAATGATTATTCTTTATGCTACCTTTTGCCAGCAAGCCAAAATGGAAGAATTGGAAGACACCATAGCACGTTCCTATTCAAGCGCCAAATTCTTGCCATCACCTTTCTGGCCTAACTGCTGAAGACCTACTGGCTTTCCCTTGTCTAGCTGTACCCCCAGTGAGTTTGTGGTTTTCCCTTTCTGTGCAGAGAGGACATTTGGGCACTCGCTTTTTATTTCTCTCCTAAACAAGGGCAGAGACCAGGGCTCTGTTCAGTTCATCGATATTAGTGCCCATTTCACACGTGAGGGATCTCTCGCAGAGAGAGACCTCCCTGTCCTCCCACATGCACTGTGTCTTCTGAACACAGGAGCCAGGAGAGGAAGACCAGAGCGCCTGTTGAAAATGAATAGTGACTTGGGGTCACAGGAACCTTAGAAGTGCAAAGTCAAGCCATGACATTTATCTTAAGCTACACGGACAGTGGTCCCTTGGCTGTGTCTTCAGAGCCCATCTCTTATGCCTGCTTTGTATGTAATTTAGCAGGAGCACTGCCTCATACTGATACATCAGCTCAGGGCAGGACTCCCTTGAGGGGGAAATAATCGACATTTTTTTTTAGCCTTAGCAGCCTTCCTCTCTATTTGAATAAAGAGGTATTTATTCAAATTCCAAATAAAGTCACCTGGGTGTTTTTGTAAGAAAACAAAGCTGCTTCATTTCCTCTTCTCTTGTGTTTTGAAGCTGTGAGTATCTATATTTAAATGCCTTATTTGTGCTATTTATTTTAATAGTTCCTGGTAATCACATGGTTGAAACATGTTTCAAGTCATAACCTCTGCAAAAGTTACAGAATATTTTACGCAACTCTTGAGAAAACTGCAAGTCTGCTTTAGACCTGTTTTCAATTCGTTTAACCTTTTTGTACTACCAGCCATTTTTTCCACTTAAAATTTCCTGGTTGGAGTGATAACATTTTAAGGGCTTAGTCCATTCAGCTGTAACTCTACCTATGGGCAGAAAGAATTAACCTTCCGAGTTCTCCAATTGCCTATGGCTGGTTAACTCAGTAGGGGACATGGTGCTAATGAGGCAAAAGTTGCAGATTTCATCCCTGTACATGCCAGTTAGCTGTGCTGAGGTCCATGACCACAGTCTGTGTCCTGACCCCTGCCAGCTTTCACACAAATGCAGGCTGCTGCTAACAAGAGACACCAAAAGAACGGGAAGCAATTTGTGCAAATGCATCTCCATTTCTGAGAAAACATTTCACAAAGCATGTTTTACTGATAGTGGGTCAGTGACTCTGGGCTGTACATGATAGCCAGTGAGCACACACGATTCCTGGATCAAAGTGATCAACTTAGAGTTCAATCTTTTTTCCTAAATTGCCAAAGGGCATATATAAAAAACACAAATTACCAAAACATACATTCAACTGAACAAACAGAGAGTATAAGAAATGTTTTTGTATCACCTTCCAAGGCAATAAATTAGACTTTGCTAAATCAGGGTGGAAAAGTAGTACAGAATGAAGTTCTCCTTCTATCTCCCAGTCAATTGGATTGGAAATGATCCCTTGTGAGACCAGGCAGGGCACAGTGAGCTAAGCCTGAAAATCCAAGGAGGGAGAGGAGGGCGCTTACAGGCAGATTGTCTTTCTTATGTGCCAGTGTGTCCTTAGCACATACAATGCCTTGTCCTTGGCAGGTATTTAATGAAGTCTTAGCTTAAAGGAAATAATGAAGTCACACAGCCACTACATGTCAGCTTCTCTAACAAGGCTCGGGCATCATTCCTTTGAGCTGACCCTGCTCTAATCTACCAATTCACTTTGACATTTGCTCAAAGATCAGACTGATAGAACACAGCAGAATCAAACATAACAGTATTTTTTGAAAAGGGGATTCATAACATTTTAGGCCACTTGATTGAATTTTTGAAAAAAGTATGAAGCAACTTCCATGGCAGCAGATGCACTAGTCACTCGAGTTCTTTAGGAAATCTGCTAATTCTGGTAATCTCTCTTTTGGGGATTTACAGGTCAGTTCATTACGTGAGCTCCTGAGTTGGCATAGAACAGTAGGTTTGTGTTTTGTTTTGTTTTGTTTTTATCAGCCCTGATCTCTATGGCCTAGACTGTTCTGAAAAATTAAGTGTCCTTGGTCGAATCGAAGTTTGGAGTGTGAGCTGGGCAGACCAGGTTTAAAACTTTCCCAACACTTATTAACTGTGTGGTTGTAGGCTCATGTGGCCCATCTATGCTTTCTTTCCCTTACACATAAGATAGAGAGGATAATAGCTGCCTGCCAGAGCCATTGTGAAGCTTAGAGCTAATTCTTAGCACAGTATCTGACACATGGTAAGTGCTCAATATATGGTGCCTTTATGATTTTATTCCCTTCATGTTATCTTTTTTATGACCGGTGGCATGATTTGGATTTATGGCCACATTATGGTGAATATGCACCTATAATGCTGCTATAGACTTTCACAACCACTGGCGCTCTCTTCTCTCTTTTATAGCCTCTTTCTCTCCAAGCAGTATATAGAACACAGAAATTATTCATCACTAACTTCAGGGCCTATCGTTTGTTCTGGAGAAAACTCTCCTTCCTAAGAGATATGCTCTGCTCTGCTGGCGGGGGCGGTGGTGGGTGTCAGTATTGTTATTATTGGACACCTACTGTGTGAGAGGCATTGTGCAAATGTTTGTTGGACACAAAGGTCAGGGGACATAACTTTTCACATATTCCTTGCAGGATGTATTACGAAAATCAGTGCAGTAAATGTCTGTTATAAAGAGAAGCCATAAATGTTTCTGCCACATTCAAAGTGCAAATCCTAGGGGCGCCAGGGTGGCTCAGTCGGTTGAGCGTCCAACTTCAGCTGAGGTCATGATCTCACCCAGTCTGTGGGTTTGAGCCCCATGTACGGCTCTGTGCTGACAGCTCAGAGCCTGGAGCCTGCTTCAGATTCTGTGTTCCCTCTCTCTCTGCCCCTCCCCTGCTCATGCTCTGTCTCTCTCTGTCAAAAATAAACATTAAAAAAAATTAAAAATTAAAAAAAAAATCAAAGTGCAAGTCCTAGATTTGGCCACATGAGACTAAAAGTTTATTTTATGGAAAGTGGTAAATAATTATTTGTTTTACATCTTATTGGCTTCTGCTTGACAAATTTCTCATGTACCATATAAAATTTTCTATAAATAAACTGAAGCACATCTGAGCATTTAACTTTTGCTGAATTCCATGTGGGAACAGAATTATAGATTAAGCTAGTGATCTGAGATATCTGAGCTCCAGGAAATGTGTTCTCCTCCTCTTAACCCATCAGCAAAATGCTTGGGCACTGAGAGACAAATACAAGCCCTAAGGAATATATTTAATAATGCAGAACTGAAAGTTTTAAGAAATCATGATGGTCCTGACTAGAAACATAGGAGGACCATAAAAAGGTTTATAGGTAAAACAAGGAGACAGGGACAAGACATTAGGATAAGGATGCACAGAACAGGATAGGCCATTGATTCCCTAATCTGGAGAGCTGCAAAGCCATGTATGATCTAGTCTCTTCTAATGGCTCTAACTCTACCTTAAGCTATCCTGCCTCACAGACTCTATATTCTAGGTTCATCAGATGTCTTCATGTATCCCAAACTCTTTTCTGTTTAGCCTCTGGACCTATATAATGTTGTTCCCTTTCTTTGCCTGCTCTATTTCCTGTTCTTCACTTGAATAACTCTTTCTTGTCCTTCACTTCTGCATTCGTATAAGAGGGCCTATCAGATCACCACCACTACCACTACACTACAAGATCTGCATCTTTTTTTCCTGATTTTAACCAGTGAACATTTTTATTTTTCATTTACCAATATCTTCATCATTCAAACTTGGCAAAAAATCCATGGACAAAAGAAACAACCAGTTCATAAAAGAAATCAACCATAAAAGTATGATGTAAAAGGAATGGTTATCTAAGGGGCTCTTGTTCTGTGTCCTGACAGTAGGTTTTCCTCAATACGGGGTGAATTTGTATGAGACTCTGGCTCCTCTCCACTTCTACATCCATGCATGAGTGACTCAGCAAAACTGCTATGCATTGACACAATGGTGGACAACTGCACTTCACCTTACCATAAAAGAGAGGATAGTAATGCAGGCAGTCATCTGGTTGTATAGCACCCACCCACAAATATGCTGACTTATAGTTGCACTTGTAGTTTTGTTTTCAAGTATATCACCATTTTTAATTATGATGTACTTGCATGATGATCAGTTGAGAGCTTTTTCCTCTACCAGCCTATAATACAGTTGGGATTATTTCTATTTTGTTCACTCTTATGCCCCAGTGCACAGCATAAGCATAAAAAATGTTAATACTCAAATATTTCAAATTGGTTGACTGTGTGCCT